AATTCCTTTTCAGGTTACTTTTAAAAATTCTCATGGTATATATATATATATATATATATATATATAGAGAGAGAGAGAGAGAGAATTAATAATAGTAATTTTTATTAATGGTATATATATATATATATATATATATATATAGAGAGAGAGAGAGAGAATTAATAATAGTAATTTTTATTTATATACGTTCTTGAGATTCGTGTTAAAAAAATTTCCGCATGCGAATACATAAGTTGCATTGTGAATGGTCTCGCAAGGTTAGTCATGCGTATACGTTGTCCTCTAAATATGTACTATTTTATTGTTGTTATTATTATTTTTATTAACACCATATTATTTCATAGTGCTTAGCATAAATCTGTCGAGTTTTTTTTTTTTTTTTTTTTTTATTAATAAAAATTGATACCACTTAAAATAAAATTATTTCTTATATAGTTAACTTTTATATCTTCGAACGTAATAATATTGATGATTAATTGTACAATTAACTTAGTTTCATCAGACAGAAAATAAAAATTGAAAAATTTCACGTGTTTAAAAAAACAGCCTTTCAAACAGTTAGCCTACACAGAGGTTCATTACGTTTAACGCATATAAATACCGTAATAAACTCATTAGGATATATTATATATACATACAATTTACAATAAGAGTACTGTATATAATATGTTACATGAGTATAGCATAGTTGCTGAGTACACGTTCAATGTATTTTTTCTTCATAATAATACTTTTTTTCTCTCGTAAGAAAGGTCAGTTTGAAACAGTATATAACAGAATAACAATCTTAAACTTTAGAATATCACTATTTTAAATTATCATTGACATTATTATTTTTTTTTTTTTCGTAATTTAACAATTAATAATATATAATCAAATAAAAATTTTTGGTATATATAATACATGATAACTTTGTTTAAGTATTAATAATAAGTTTATCGATACTAATCAAATATTAATGTATACTTGTATAAATACATAAATAAATTTTGTCTAGCGAATCTACTAAATCTAGTGAAAGACTATAATTAAATAGAAGATAAAAATATAAGAAACTAAAATAACTAAAGATGAGTCACACTATAGGTTAGTATAAGCTAGTATAGGCATTTAGTAAGTAAAGGATATTCTGACCATTTCAGGCATTCCGGGTCATAGTTCTTAGGAATCAAACAAGATTGACGACTTTTCCGAAACACATACCATGTATATATACATATACATATCTCAACGTACGAAACTCATAACTACTCTAACTTGTCACTTAATTAAATACCAGTAGCAGCACCAGTTGTCAAATATTTCATTTATTTTATTGTGTTAATAAATAAAAATTTCAACCATTATAAATATATAGATATCTAAGGTCATTGACTGGGCATCTATGCAACATTTTGTTTTTTTTTATTATGTCTAGTTATAATCGAAAGAATACCAATAATACCGTACATTTAGTACTGGAAGAAGGAATTTAGTTTTTATGAAAAAAAAAAAAAAAAAAAAAAAAAAAAACACATAGGATACATATAATTATAATATTCTATATTCTTTATTTAAAAAAAAAAAAAAAATAATTATGTTATTGAATTAAATATAAAAAGTTTTGAATATATATTTAATTTTTTTTACACTCTCCTTATATATCTTTATAAAATCAAAAAAAAACTTAATTAATTATGTGAATTAGCTTGTTTATTACTGATATATAAATAATATACTAATTAATTAATATCTGCATTGTATTGGTAGTCTTAATGGTAGTTAGGTCCTGCTGATGATGGTTAATTCTATTAGTAGACTACTCAACTGTTTCCCCTTTTTATCAAGGACATCCACTCGTATCGGAATCTTTTTATATTATTTTAGGTTTTTTTAGCTTTATCTGAATCTTTAAATATATCCCTCCACCTTTGAAAGTGAATTCTTGAAATTAAATAAAAGAAAAACTGGGTATTATATGAGATAAAAACATGACAAAAATTTAACTTATAACTTATAACCTACGCTTAGAAAATTTAAATAGTTATTGTTTTTTTTTTTTTAATCACAAGCTTGTTTATTTTTTTTATGAAAGATAAGTATTTTATGCGAAAAAGTTTAATATGGTCATCGCTATCTTCGTATTTAAACATAATACATGCAGGCATAATGTAGTGTGTATATGGTATAGTATGTTAGTGTGTTGAATGTTTACTCATTCCCCAAATACCGAACACCAAATACCAAATATAATAAAACTTAATTTGCAATCCTATTATTCCTGTCAACGAGATGGTTTAGCCATGCAATCATCAGCAAATTCTAATGTAAAAAAAAAAAAAAAAAAAAAAAAAAACATAAAAATGAATAATAAAAAAGGAAAAAGAAAACAACTGATTTATCATCTCATAGTTTTTATTATTTTTTTTTATTTTTTCATTTACTTCAGCCTTCCTCCCAATCCATTATAATTTTTTACTCACTTCATAGCTGCTTAGTTGTTTGGTTCCTCGAGTGTTGAGTGTTAGGTGTAGCTTGCAATACATTTAACAATGAATCACAGTCAAGATTATTATTCTTTTCACAGGATATCCAGCTATAATCTATTATTGTTATCATTTCTTTAATTATTATTTGTAAAAATTAAACAGCTATTTATACTATTTTGTCTTTTCGTGAGAAACTAATTTTTTTTTGTAAAGATTAAGTAGCTTTGTTTATTTATTTATTTTTTTTATGAAAGAGTGTATAAATGTCGGCTATAAAATGGTGAATGGGTAATGATGATATGATGAATAATTAGTAAGTTACAGATATTTTTTACGTAAATATACTATAATTTAAAAATATATTATATATTATATAAGAAAAAAGTGATAACAATTTTTGAGTTTTCATTTTGTTTATGATTACATTACTTGAATTAAAAAAAATAATATTAAAATAAAAAGATACATTGAATACCTTTCATTATTGCGGCATCTTACCAACTGTTATAAATTTATATACATATTACAATCACAGAGGTCTATCCTATCCGATCAAGTGTTTCACATACTCATGTACCTGTCCGCGTGTATTACACCATGCATCCAAAGATCATGACGAGCGTTATCTATCTATTTATCTGTATATCTATCTATGTACATATAACTGAGAGACTGAGGGCTTGTATAGTTGTGATACTACTACTCACTTGTTAATATAATAAGTTATTTACCTGTTAACAAACTAAATGGTAACTTGACTGTATATATGTATAGTATATGAACCAGTACTGCATATTTTGTAATGTAAGAGACAGGTGCGTATACTGCGTATATATATAGTGTACTGGTAATATTTCGTCAACCGCTATGAACCTCCATGATTGCAAGACTGCGTAGAGACTGCAACAGTAATTTATCCTTCTATTTTATTTCTACTTATATACAACAAACAGCAACAATTATAAGTTTATCATACAATTCATAAAGCTTTTTATTCTTTTACGAGTTTTATTTTTTGTCTAAACCAATACAGTTCTATAATAATCATCGATTACAATTTTTAAAATCACTGTACTTGATTTTATATAGTAATAATTTGATTTGATCGTATAACACAAAATAAGAGAAAGAAAAATAAATACTTTCAAGTGAATCCAAACTGGTATTTTATTTTCATTTATATTTAATATATAATCTATTCAGTTAAAAAACTTTCTATTTGAATTCCTAGTAATCTACTTGACATTTTATTGTCGTGGGAATTTAAACTTGAACTTATCAAAAGTATTATGATTTCTTTTATTTATTTTATTTTATTAATTGATCGTATATATGTATATGTTGTTCTATTGAATTAAATAATTGTATACAACTGTCATTATATATTATTTGTGATTCGTGCTATGAAAGACAATTTAATTTCCGATTAATCGAATATGCGTACATGATGTATGATATATAAAATACATGGATGTATGTAGATGGTGAAAGTGTGCAAACACCCAGCAGCTATTAATGCTCGACCCCCTACATATATACAAAAGCGGTGTTGTATAAAACCGTGCGACAATAATGATGATGGAAACGGGAGAAAAAAAGAAAAAAAAATTGGAAAACGTTGGTATAAATATATGTACATAAATACTACAAGTATACAAGGATAAAAGTGAAAGATAGCCATAGGGCAGGTTGTATATTTACAAGTACATATAATAATGTTCGCATCTTCATGACACGGTTTAAATTAATAACAAATTATATATGCACAATGATCAGAATTTAAAAAAAAATAAATAAGAAATGCCTTGAGGGATTGTTGCTTAATAAAGAGAAAATATTAATATGTTTATTGCTTTGTTCATATATATATATATATATATATAATATAATAAGAATATAAAGAGTAAGCAGGTGGTCTTGCTCTTGGTCTTGTATTGGGTGTTGTGCTCTTACCATCTTATGCTCTTACGGGGGTCAGATGCTCTGAGCTTGGGGGCATTCTCTTCAGTATAAATCCATACACAGACGGATCTCTCGCTGTGTCCGCTCGTCCGCTGCCCGGATTATTGTCTTCATATACGTTTCATTCACATGACATTTCACTTTTTCCATTGGTTTGCTCCATTATACATTACAGCAAAAGGCTCACATTACAACGCGGCGTGTGGTAGTGGCCACCTCTTATATATTCAATAATACATATAGACATAAATATATTTTGCTAAAGGAAATTCAAATCTTCTTTTCATACTTTCGTCTACATTTATATCTATATTTTATATATTTATATATATATATATATATATATATATATATATGTTGGTATTAATAAAAGTAAAAGTAAATTACGAATAAAAATAAAAACTAATCTACTAAGTGTAATTAATTAATTAAATAAGGATGATCTATTCCCGTTTTATACCACTGTTTCACAAATTAAAATATCTAGCATTATTTAAAATGAATTTTTTTTTTAAGATATTTATAACGATAATTATTAAAATTATTGTACTCAATAATTGTAATTTTATTTTCAGGTTCAAAGGCTCGCTGAATATGAACGATACTTAGGTCAAGACGCACGTACACTAATAGAAACCAACAGCACCAACAATAAAAGTAAAAATAAAAACAACAACAATATAAGCAGTGGAGTAGTTTTTCAACGTGCTCAGCTTGAAGGTGACCTTCATCGTATCCAGGAACTATTTCCGGGCGACAACCTGCGTCTACATGAGCGAGATGTTCTCACCACCGTAAGTCGCTAAATAATTTAATTCTACCTATTATTTTATTTTATAAAAAAAGAGAAAAAAAAAATTTTTGAAAAAGAAACAAAATACATAAAAAATATACTAGTCGGAGAGTAAAATGAAAAAATTAACTCTAATTGCCGTTCACGTAATCTTCTGTATAGTATGGATTATTTGTCGTGGCAAAGTTAAAGTTTCTAATCGTTTCCAAGAATAAATCTCATGTTTGTGCGATTGCCACGTGTACATTTTATCCTATTTTCTTTTTCTTCTTCTTATTCTTCTCCATCTTGCATTAAAAGTCTAAACCCTTTTATTTCCTATAAATACATTGTGTTTTTAAAATTTAAATAAACATAATACTAATATTAATTTTTTATTAAATGTACATATATACCTACTACGTTTATAAATAATATATGAATAACCGTTAATTTGTTAATTTAATACTTAATAATTAAATAGTTGAGATTATTAACTCCGCTTTACAATAATTATGTAATAAAATATTGTGTTATATATAAATATATATATATATATATATATTTAACAGAAAATGAAAAGCTTGATACGTAAGAGAAATGGAGGAAATCCTGGACGACTTACTCGGGCATTATCGCAAAAAAATCTTCAAAATATATGCAGCTCGCCAGCGCCAAATCCAACGACAAAGTCACCACCCCGTAAATTTTTTTTGGAAACACCGGTACAATTTACCACGGGTATGCAATCTCAAGATCGACATCTTTTTCTTTTCTCGGATCTTCTGTTAATTGCCAAGGCTCGAAGCGGTGGAAATTTTAAACTAAAACAAACGGTTAAAATGAGCGAACTTTGGCTTACCAAAGAACATATTGAAGATGTTTCCGAGTCAAACAAGTCTCAGGAAACTAGCTTTGTTCTTGGATGGCCTACTACCAATGTTGTTGCAACATTTATGTATGTATTTGTAAAAAATAATTAATAAAATATATGTTATAATAATATTTATTAAAAAAATTTAAAATAGGACCGCAGCAGCAAGAGACTTGTGGTGGGGTCGTTTGACAGAGCTGGTGCGTGAAGAAAACCTCAATGAGCCACCAGATACAAATATTCAAGTGGTGTATCATGACAATGACACTAACACGGAATACGTAAGTACAAATATTTACTCTTTTTTATCTTATTGTTATTATTTAATGATGATGAAAATAATAATAATAATAATAATAAACGTTTATATTTTGTTTTTCAGTGTAAAACAATAATGGTAAGCTCAGAAATGACAGCAGGAACGTGTGTTAATTTGGCAACCCGGCTATTGGATCTTCAAGGTAATTTTCAGCTGTGGGCAAGAACGTCTATTGATGAAGCCCCTTATCCGCTAATTGGCCATGAGAGGCCTTTTGCAATAAAGCTCTCTAATTTGAGGCACACCCTTTCTACAGAGGAAGGTTTTGATCTTGAGCACTGCAACAAAAGCGGTCATGATACCTGTCACTTTATTTTACGGCCTATTCTAAAATCACCAATTAAAAAAAATAACAAATCAAAAATTACAGGAATCTTAAGACGATCCCTCTCGTTAAATCCTAATATTTTTGGAGTTAATTTATCAAGATTAGACGATAATGGTTTACCAAAACCAGTTCTGGTCATGTTACAACAGTTATTTTCCAAGGGTCCTTTTACTCAGGGAATATTTCGTAAGTCTGCAAACGTGAGAATTGTTAGAGAGCTAAGAGACCAAATAGAATCAACTGGTGATACAAATTGCCTTGAAGATGCACCAATAATAGCCGTTGCTTCGTTATTAAAAGATTTTTTACGATCACTGCCTGATCCATTACTAACTTTTCATTTATTTCCACTGTGGATGGCCAGTTTGGAATCGAAAAATTCTGTACAGACTATTAAAAGGTACAATAATAACAATTATTATTATTATTATTATCATCATCATTTTAATTTATATAATTTTTATGTTTTAGTATTATTGATCGACTACCAAAAGAAAACTATACTCTTTTATCTCATTTGGTATGCGTACTTCATCATATAGCCCGACGATCAAAACACAATTTAATGTGTGCAAGTAATTTAGGTGTATGCTGCGGGCCAAGTCTTCTTTGGTCATCAAATCCAACAGTTAATCAAAGTCGTGCCATTCCAACACTAACTGAGATGCTGATTCGTCACTGTGAAATATTATTTGGAGACGGTGTCACTCTGTTATTTGGTGAGGAACGAAGTGACAGTGGAGCTGAAGAAAGCACTGATAGTTTACACTGTGAGTAATGAAAAAACTAAAATAAATAATTAAAATAATTAATTATTAACTTGTTGTAGCAGGTGGACTTTCGTTGGATAGCTTGGATCTAACAGAACCACCAAGAAAAGATCATATGTCATTATCACGTGACTCGGGTCTTACGCTATCAGATTGTCAGCTCTTTATACCAGAATCACCAGTTGGCTCTGAAGATTCAGTAGTAAATGTCTCTAATTCGAGTTTTGAAAAATCATCATCATCATCATCATCAACATCCACTGACAAAGATAAATTTCAAATCAATAAATCTAGTTATATTCGTATTTACACCGGATGGGAGAATCGACTCAACAGTTATACTACAAATATAACAACAACAACCTCCTCTAATAATAATATTGTATCTGCTGCTGCTGCTGCTGCTGCTGCTGCTGCTGCTACTACTCATAATCAAACTTTTTGCGATGAAAAATTAAATTATCCAAATCCAAATTTTCAACGACAAGACTGGTTACGTGCCCAACTTAAACGTAATTCCAGAACAAAACTGGAAGACGATCAACGAAAGGAACGTTTTGATGACAAAGATATATTTACAAGAGATTATTTACGTCAAACATCGATAAAAGAAAACGTTGATAATTGTAAAGATATCTCAGTATTTAGAGCGCAACAACATAATGTTAACTCGTGTCTTGACAGCAATACTCCCAATTTTAATCATGATTCTTCAGAGAAAAATTCTAATGGTGATTCGACAATAATATTATCAGAGCAACGCAGTCAAAGTTATAATTTTAAGAAAGAAAGATTTGATTTTAAAAAATTAAAAGGTGATTATGAAAAATTACCGACAATGTCTTCCCAAAATAGTAGCTATCATTCAAATGCGGATTTATATGAATATAAAAAAGTATTGACTAAACACGACATTAGACTAGAAAATAATAATAGTAATAGTAATAATATTTATGGTAATCGTGAGACAATAACTGAAATTTACAGTTCACGAGAAATCAAAGACATGTATAAATTAAAACAATCTGAAACAATAAATAATTTTTGTGGTGATCATCCTGCTGCTACCGTCACTGCTGTTGTCGATGATAATAATGATGAGGATGAGGATGACGACGATAATGATGATGATGATGATGATGATGATGATGATGATGATGATGATGATGATGATGATGATGATGATGATGATGGTGATGGTGATGATGATGATAATGATAATGATAACGATGATGATGATGATAACAACGATACTCGTACTTGGCCTGATACTCCACCACCACTTCCACCTCGACTTCGACATTTACCTCCAGTACACATGAGTCTTGAGGATCGACATAAAGTTGCTGGTAGATCACGTTCATTACCACCTCCACCTCCTTATCGCCCTCCACCTCAACCGCGTGCACCTATAACCACTAGACATCTCGGTTATCCTCGATCAATTATCGACGACGAAAGTTATGTATAAATAATATAAAAACCTTATATACCTTGTTCTTTATTCATTTTTTCTTTAAAAAAAACTATCCAAACAATTTGGTTATTTTCTTTTTTTTTATTAATATTTTTTCAGTTATTATACAATATAAGTACTGAATATAAATAATTTTAAATTGATAAATAATTATCTCCAAATAACGTTAAGGTAGTAAATAGAATATAAATCTATTTACGAGATACTTATGATAAACAAATAAGTAAAGTATAAATAAGAAGCTCAAAAGTACTCGTTATAAATGAGTCTTGTAACTGAACCTAGTCCGAATTAGCCCCAATGGTCATAGTGGACAAAATAAATTTAATATGTATGACAATAATAATTATTATTTTATATTATATTATATTATATACATTCATGAGTATATGTATATTAAATTAAATAATGTGACGTCACAGCTAATTGACGATTATGTTTTTTATTATTTAATGATTCAAGGTGCTTCCACAGGCTTAATAAAATAACTTACTATTATTAACTATACAACTTAAAATATATTTTATTATGATTATAAACTGATATTATTGTTATTAATATAAGAATATATAACATATACAGTATGATGAATAAGCACCAATTTTGATTCGAGATTATCAAATTATTCTATGACAATAACAATAAAAAAAATAAAAAAATAAAAAAATACTTTACTCTATAGTAGTACTCTAGTACTTAAAAAATTTATCTTTATTACTTAAAAATTGAATTTTTTTATTATTTTTGTATGATATGAATAAATACTTATGTTACATGACATTTACATTAAAATTCAATTTTTTTTATCAATTAAAATTATTTCTACTACTCTACAATTCATTTTAGAATTAGGTATATAATCATAATAACAACCATAATATTTTTTAATGATTATATGAATAAAAAGAAATTGGGGTATAAAACAAAATTATAATAACAAAATGTATTATTTTTAATTTGTTTTTTTGTAAATATTATTATCATTATTATTATTATTATTATTATTAGTATTTTTCTTAATAATAATACAATAAACTTACGAATAAAAATTAAATAACTGTTTTTCGCCTTTTATTCAACATTATACAATATACCATGGTAATGCATACTTATTGTTTTAAAAATTTATAAAAAACTTGACATTGGTTATGGTTATGAATAAAAACAACTAACCATAGATTATTTTTTGTGACAGATTATAAAATTTATATTAAAAATGTCAAATGCTGATGAAGATTATATAAATTTACAATTAGATCGTCCACTTTTGGACAAAATACGTGTACGTATAATTTAAAATAATAAATAATAGTTTTTAATAATTTATAATATATAATTACAGACCGATGAACAAATCAGGAGACATACATTAGATAAATGTTTTGACAAAATACCAATTGATCGAGCGTTGCACATTTTATTGTAAGTTGATTTAAAAATAGTTAGTTATTGTTAATTATCATTGATCATCTATTTATTTTAAAAGTAAAAATATTTTAAGTATTTTTATATTCAATTCTATTAGTATTATTATTAATTTAATTATGGTAAAACAAACAATACGCCCGTGGATATTATTTATTTTTCTATTGTTATTTCAAGGTCTCAGTAACAATTTACGTAACTAAAATACTTAAAAAAATAGTTGGTCCATTAGTCATCACCTCACCGTCATCAGATATATATGACTCATTCCTTAGTTTTTTTTTTTTCTTTTTTCATTCCTTTCCTCTTCTTAACATAAATCCCTATACAGGTATGTCTATATATCTATACAGGTATATACAGGTAGTTTAAATTCAGCGCGCCTTTTTTTGCATAACCTTCTTCATATTCTTTTTATTGTTATTATTATTATCATCACAACAACAACAACAACAACATTGGGTCATGGGTAATGGCGCCTCGACACTTTCCGTAATGTAAAATATAGTTTTCGTGCTTGTTCGTGTAACCTTCGATTAAAATCGTAAACGCTCGTAGATTTTCGTTAACACTTATACAATTATCATTATTATTATTATTATCATTATTAAATGCAGAATGACCAGTAGTATAGCGCGTACCTTGTCAGACTGTTAAATATATAGTTGGTGTTAGTAGTAAAATCGAAGCAATTTTTATGTTTCTCTGTTTATATTTATAATTTACTTGTAATTATTGTTATCATTTTTCTAATATATTAATATTATTTATTGTTAATAATACCACACACTTTTAAATCGTTTCAATTTATTAGTATATAAATATCTCTAACCAACTGAAAAATCTTTATTTTTATTAATATTTATCTGAAAAAATGAAAAAAGTAATATAAAGACATTGGTTGAAATAAGTAAATATAATAGCTTTGTAGGGTTATATACTTATTGTAATTTATTTATATATATCTAAGTGTGCAATACGATGAATGAAAATAAAAATGTGGCAAGAGGGAGGCGAAGCTCCCTTTGATGAATTAATTGACTCGTAAGTTTAATTTTACGTTTATTATTGTTATTTAATTGATTATTTATTTTCTTTTATTGTTTTACTACTATGTATAACAAAACAAAAAAAAATATACATATAGAAGATTTTAATCTTAAAATTATTGTGCTTTAAAATTTTTTTTTCTTAACATTATTATTATTATTATTATTATCATTATTTTTCTTTTTCTTCTAGTACTTGAGTAAGAGATGCAATCGATGAAAGAAAAAGTCGCGTTTTACAACATGTTCTAACCCACCTAAAAATAACACACGTATCAACAATTTTTAGTGTCTCTTATCCTGTTTTTATTTTTTTTTTCTCTTTCTTCTTCTTTTCTTCATTTCTCTTTACTACTCATTTACTTTACTACATATTATTAGAGTTGTTATTTAAATCTTTACTAATTATAATTCCACTGAAAATTTTAAGCTAAAAAAAAAAAAAAAAAGTAATAAAATGAAATAATAATTTCTAATAAAATCCTTTGCTATTAAATTTTTTTTATCAAGACGAAAATTAACAGCTAATAAATTATAAAGGTAGTAATAAAATATAATAATCATATAGTTTAATTGACAACCGGAAATTTGGTACATATATAATAAAAGTAATACTATCAAATAATTGTATGATATATATTTTATTTGTTATTATTTAACATCCTGTTTATTTAACTAAAGATAAATCTTATTTTTTTAATTAAATTAAATTAAATTAATTAATAAAGATTAGAGTATATTATTTAAATAGGAAGGGCGATGAAATACAGAAATTGAGTGTGATACAAACGTTGCCAAGTTTGTTGGTTGGAGATCCGCAAACATGTATTCAAAGATTAATGCCCAAGATGCAGGAGAGCCTGCAAGAAGCATCAACAGAATTTCATGTTGCCGCATCCTCGACATTCAAAACTATATTAGAACAAAGACTTGTCAGTCATTCAACATTTACACAGACATTCCTACAAAGCATTTTAAATTCACTCGACAGCAAGGATCAAGGTAACTATTATTATCAATTATCATTATATTAATAGTTTATTTTATTATTATTAAATTTTATTTATTTATTTATTTATTTTTTTTTTTTTTTTTTTTTTTTCTAGTGGTAGCTGATGCTTGGTTGGAAACCTTGCTTGATGTTATTGAGTTACTACCCAGTGAAGTGATAAAGCGTGAGGTAACAATAGTTGAATTTATAAATCAAACACTTATTGTATAGTTGCTTAATTAATCAATATACTTGTTTATTACTGCTATTGTTTTTTTTTTTTTTTTAATTTTAGATATTACAAGTGGCAATAAGCAAAGGACAATTGTCTCAGCCAGTAAATTCACGTATTATTTGTTGTAAATTATTGGGAAAAATATGTACACGTTTTAATTCACAATTGTAAGTTGTTATTTTTTTAATAATAATAATAATAATAATTTTATTAATTATTAAAATTAAAATATTTTTTATAGAATAAGAAAACAAGTATTACCAACAGTTCATTCATTGTGTCAAGATGTCAATAGCGATGTTAGAGCATGTATATGTTTACAATTACGTTTTGTAGCAGAAGGATTGGGTCCAGAGTCTGTTAAATCGGCATTATTACCATCAATTGTCGAACTAGCTAGTGACGAAGAAAGTATTGTAAGACACGCTTCTGTACAGACAATAGTTTATCTACTACCTCATCTAAATGCAGACGTTATAAAAAGTACCATATCACCGCTGATTAAAAAATCATGCGACAATGCGCTCAAGTCAGACGTTACTGTCATGTGTACGATTGCTGAAGAGTTTGGAAAACTAGCAATTGGCTTAGAAAAATCATTATCCACCTCTGAAAAAACTTGGCTTATTCAATTTTTTAAACAATTATCACAAGTTGGAATTTTACCAAATAAAGATAAAAAACCATCAGGTTCTACTTTTAATAGTAATAATACTAATTCTAATAGTAGTAATCCTGGTAATAAACAACAAGAATTTTCAATAATTAATATCAGTAGCAGTAATCCAACAATTATAGAGCATTATGTCGAGTGTCGAAGACTCTGTGCTTTTAATATTCCTGCAATGTTTATATTTGCCGCTTCAACAATTGAAGATGTTGACAGTTTAATATCTACATTTTCAGAACTATCAGCAGATCCATTTTACTTGGTTAGACGGACTATCGCTTGTGGAATACATGAGGTAAGTTGACTATTATTATTATTATTATTATTATTATTATTATTATTTATTTATTTTATTTTATTAAATTTAATAGGTCGCTAAAATTCTTGGACCAAAAAATTATTTAATAAGAGGTGAATTGATAAAATTATTAAAGGATGATAATGAACAAGTGTTGCAAGGCTTAATACCACAATTATCAAAGACACTTGAACTTTTAATCCAAAGTCAATCAGTTGGAATAGAACAATTGGTAATATATTTAAAACATAATGTAAGACTAATTTGTTTATTTAAATTTAAATTATTAATTTTTTTTTTTTTTTTTTAGGAGTCATCGGTTGTTGATATGGGAAAAGCGTTATTAAAATGTGAAAATGAAATTTTTAACACTAATAATTGGAGATTGTCTAAATTAATGTTGGAACAATTAGAAATATTACCAAAATGTTTTCCAAGTGATTATATTTATACATATTTTGTGCCTGTTGCTTTAAATCGTGCATTGAATACGGTAAAATAATAACCATTAAAATAAATTATTATTCAATATTAAGTGAATAATTATTATTATTATTATTATTATTATTATTATCATTATAAATTTACAGAGACCTATGCCAGTAAAATTAGCTGCGGGACGAACATTTTTGGTATTTATACGATATAATTTAAAACCAGTCGAAAGAAGTGAATTGAGAAATAAATTGTACAGTGAATTTGCACGTAATAAAAGCTGCTACATAAGAATGTTATTTATACGAATGATGATTGAAGCAATGACACTGTATTCGTCAATGTATTTTAAAGAACATTTTTATATGGTAGTATTGAGTTTATCTGAGGATCCAATAGCAAATATTAGATTAAAATTAGTAAGTTTATTACCGACATTAAAATCCTACATACGACTACCTTCTGATAAAAAACTTTTATCGTCATTTGAGTCAAGTGTACGTAATTTAATGAATAATGAAAAAGATCGTGATGTTATTTCTGCATTGACAACTGTAATACGTAAGCTAGATGAAATAGATGTACGCCACGAAGGTCAATCTGTAAGTATTTTTTTGTTAATTAATTAATATTTATTATTATTATTATTATATTTATTTCAGTCATCTGTTAAATTAAATAAGCAAGACAATGATGATTTTAAAAAATATGAAGAGGAAAAACAAATAATGGCAACTGTATCGGGTAAATTGTCAACTGGACAACAAGTAACATTAATAAAAAAATCACCAATTGCAGTAACTGGCCGAGTCAATTCCAATGACGGTGCATCATCTGTACGTAATACCAAACAGTCAGGAATATCAAGTGATAATTTAACTAAATCAACGTAAGTTTAGTTAGTTTGTTGTTATTATTATTATTATTATTATTATTATCATCATTTTAACTATAATTAGTATTAATTTTATAATAATAAATTACAGTATATCGTCACAAAAAGTTAAACAGACAGGTTCAATGCCACTAACGGATTCAACGACATTCAAATCGAGACGTGAGTTGTTACTTTTCCGGTCTACTTGATTATACTACTTATAATGAATTCAAATAACTTTAATTAACTGTTATTAATTATTTGTATTTATTTTACAGAAACAACACCAACAACAACAACAACAACAAGAAGTTTTGATTTAGCGAAAGCTAGGTGAGTTATATACTGTTATTATTATTATTAATTATTGATTGATTGATGATTGGTCTTAAATTCTAATCTTTTAAAATAGATTTAGAAATGATAGTGATTTTATATTGGTATTATTATGAGTGGTGTGTATGCTTTTAGTACGTCTAGTGACGATTTAACATCAAGCTGGGCTCGTTTAACTTCAAACAGCATGTTACTAACCCATCTTTGGGAAAAAATAGACCACCGTGGGTCTTCAAAACTTTCCTCACTATCCGCACCATCATCGTCGTCGTCGTCGTCGTCGTCGTCGTCGTCGATGACATCTAATCAGAGTAACTTTTTGGGAATAGCTACTAACAATTCTGAAGAAACTGATATATCCTCAAATTATTATCATCACCCGCCGTGTAATTGTTACAAAAGTTCTATTTATCCAAGTTCATCATTATTATCAAGTTCTGGTAATATTGAAATGGATTATAAATCGACAGAAGCTAGTACGTGCTCTTGTCGTGAATCATTGTCATCAAAATTAAATTCAACCCATCTATATCATAATCACCATCATCACCTCTATAATCATCACCATAATCACCATAATCACCATCATCATCATCATCATCATCATCATCATAATCATAATCATAATCATAATTATCATCATAATCAATCTAAATCAAATTATTTAGATACTAATTACTCGTCACTAACAACTCCGCTGGTACTAACTCGTAATAAAGATGATAGGCATGGAATTAATCAGTATAATAATCCTTATAAATATTTAAATAATTATTTAATGCCACGTGAAAGTACGCAGAGCTATAATAATGATGATAATAATAAACTGATGCCTAATTTTGCTGCTCTTCGGGCTGTTAATAATGCTGCACAGCATAATTCATGTTGGGGTTTTAGTTCAATGCCAGAGATACCAGTAACTCTTTTGGAGGATGAATTTTTGGTCGACACCGGAATGAGAATTCCAGCTCAATTGTCATCGTTGTCTCAAAGTACATCAAAAATACCAAATCTTCAGGATATTATTTATCGTAATACACGTATTGATAATTACAATGTTAATAAATCACGACGATCTAACAGTAGTTCTTTTCCTTGTAGTTCTACTAGTTTTAATAATTCTGGAGTTATTAATATAGATAATAAAGGTAAAAGTAAAATTCATTATCAGTTACCTGAAAGCTGTTTAAGACGAACAACAAGTGTTGATAAATCAAATAGTATAGGTAATATTGTTGGTAATAGACTATCAATGAGTTTTGATGAAACAATAAAAATTAATAAAATAACGATAAATGATGATAATAATGATGATGATGATGATGATGATAATGATGAAGAAAACATTAAATCTAAAAAGTATTCATCTAAAAGTATCATTGGAAAACGTCTTAGTAGCAGCAATAGAAATAATAGTACAAGTAAAAATGGAACTACTGGTGAGAGTGTTACAATAACTGGTACAAGTAAAATAATAGATGATAAAAAAAAAAAATTATCATTTGTTGATCGTGATAAAAATTTTATGCCTTCAAATACTAATATTACTAATATTACTACTGCTGCTACTACTACTACTACAACAACAACAACAACTGCTGGTGGTGGTGGTGGTGGTGGTGGTAGTGGTAGTGGTAGTGGTAGTGGTAGTGGTACTCGAATACTTGATAAAACTAAACGACACTCTGCTAGTTACAGTATTAAATTTTTTGACAGTAAAAATTACAAGGATAAATTTAAAAGACATAGTCTGGAAGTACCCGAGTATAGTCCCGAACGTGGAAGATTAAAAAGAAATTATACTTTGGATGTTAATCATAATCAAGGAATTAGTAAAATTCCATTGAGAAATTCAATTTTAACTGGTAGTCGTACTGCTCCAGTAACTCGAGCTTCCAGTCCAATAAGATTGGGACCACAAATAAGCTATGATCGGGAAAAAGATCATCAAACCGGTAATGAATATCATCACAGTGATCACAGAGTTATGACTAGGTTTAGTTCTAGCGATGAACAAGTTGACAAACTATGTATAAGATTTGCTTACGTTGATCCTTATGGAAGAGAAGAAAATCCCCGTAAAAGTATAAGTAAATTACCCGTTTGGGTACCCAGAAAAAAATTATAGTTTCATAAAATAAAATCACATACTATAAAAAATAGAGACACATCATTTCAGTTGCAATATCTATTAATTAGATTATCTTTTTCAAAAATATAGATATATATATATATATATATATTTTTTTAACAGGGTATATTCCAGTTGATTCAATTATTTTTAAATGTTACTGAAAATTAAAAAATATATATAGACATATATATTTTATTTTTTCTTCAATAATATTATTGAGTATTGGATATTTACATAAAATATATATATATTCATTGTTGAATTTGTCCCATAGAATTAATATAATAAATAAAAAAATAATCTTTGTATGTAGTTGAAAAAGATAAAATAATATTTTTATCTACATATAAAAAAAAAAGTAGACTTACTTTTTGGCAATAACTAATAGCCATTAAGATTAATTATTAAATATATTCATATATAATAATTAAGAAAACAGTATTAGTAATTAGTGCTTAGTAATTAGGCATTTATATTTTAATTATACATATTTATGAAAATTTTTTATAAATTAAATTGAGAGTTTAAATTAATTTTTTAACTTAAGAATGTGTTTATATTTGTCAATTTTTTATCTTTATTTATATTTATATATTTTTAATAATCATAAAGATGGTTTTTTTGTTTGGTAAAATAATTTATAAAAAAAGAAATTAAAAGATGAAAAGTAATTGGCAAAGTACACAAAACAATATAACAATTAAAAAGGCAAAATGTATATGTAAATAATTGTGTTTTTTTTTAAACTATCAACGCTATTATAATTGAATATTTTATATTTCATTTGAACTAACGAATAACTTATTTAGTGTGCCTCCAAATCTTAAATTATGAACAATAATAATATTAATAATAACATTTCTGATGCTTTAAAATTTCGATTGCAGAAAGTAATTTAAAAAATAAGATTACGAATAAAGTGATCAAGTTGTCATATCGAGTATCGAAGATTGTTGGTCCACTTAGAGACTTATTTATTATTAAATGCAGGAAGAAAAACAAAAAGCCATATAAATGTTTAAAATAACGAAGACAGACTTACAATCGTCCGGAATGTGATTGGAAAAATGTATATTGTCAACAAAAAAAAACATTGTAGACTATTTATTTTTGTATAGATCTTTCATGTTTAAAACTGACCTATGTGCCAGATAAATCAATGTAAAGAAATAATGTATTAATTATAAATATAAAATGTTATTGTATAGATAATAATAATAATAATAATAATATTAATTATTATTATTATATTTAATTGTTAATTAAAAAAAAAATATTATCACAATGTGATAGATAAATAATTAATTAATTAATTACTGTATTATGTACATACCTTCTATTAATGTAATAATTCTTTAATGTTGGTAAATGATTAATTTACTTAAAAATAATGATACAGTCTTAAGTTTCGGGATCTTTAACAGGCAAGAAAAGTTTAATTTCAGCGGTTTCAACAGCTATATTAATTTAGTGCTTTGCAACAGCTACTTATACCATATTTTTAAATTGTTCCATATAAATTATTATGTTACTCGAAGTTTATTAATTTAAATGAAATAGATTGTCTTCTGTGTCCATAATAGTACTTGTTGCAAAAAATACATCTGTGATAATTAAAATAATTGTCTTATTATTATTATTATCATCATTACTTGTACCTTATTAGTAAATATAAAAAATTCAAACATAGCATGAACGACGAAAAATTTTCATTGAGATAAAATTCAGGCTAATTTGAGAGATTAAGGTTTTTAATTTATAAATTTTTTAATAACTATTTTTTTTATAATTTTATTTATTTACTTTTATTTCTACTGTTTAAATAACTCAAAACTTTTCAATCACTACATTTTTTTATTATTGGTGTCTATTCTTATACATAATAAAAAAAATAATAAAAATGATCAAAATAATATACCACTTGAAATTTTTTTTTTATAATAAATAAGACGACACTATGAAGTGCATATATATATATATAATAAAAAAAAAGGTATATACTTATTAAAATTTTCAAATCGCATTATCATTAGTACTATTCATACGTATTAGCATTGGGCAGATATAAAATCGTTACAATAAACTTATCACCAAAAATAATGCGATTGGCAGTGATAATTATCATTTAAAATGTACATTTTGTTTTTTATTATTATTTAATAATATTAAAGTAGTAAAATTGGGTATCGTTTACATTCGAGTCTAAACATCAGCAGCAAAGGTCAAGAAGCGATCGTGCAAATAAACAATTTGCTGATACGATTAATTATTATTATTATTATTATTATTATTAAACCGAAAGCTTATAACGTTATAACATATATACTTTATAAGGTATAATAATTGAAAAAAAAAAATATATATTTTATTAAAATTGTTCACACAATCGCTTCTCGTGTTCTCGTGACATAATTTGCATTAAATAAATATATATATATATATATAGATTTAAAAAAAAAGAAAAATGAATTTTTCACCAGTCATAGGTAACAAAAAGATAAAAATTTACATTTTTTAAAAATCCGTGTATACTATTTTAATATTATTAAATACTATTTACATACAGGTCTACGGAGTAAATACACTACTATTTACTTTTAATTATTCTTCACTTTGATTGGTTTACTCGTACAATTTATTATTCATTTAAAATCTTAGATATGATTTGTTAGCCAGTATACATTTTTTTAATTATTATTAATATCTAATTAATCAATAAATCTGATGATTTGATGGTTTAAAAACGTTTTTAAAACTCATTTGTGATTATAATTTTTGATTTGTTCAGAATTTTTGTTTACATTCAGCAAACTTATTTAACTGCGATTGTCCAATTAAAAATAGTACAATCAAGCTAGCAGTGACAAGCTGTGTATATTTAATTTTTTATCCATTTATAGGAATAATATTACTTTTTATTGTTATAAATAATAATTTACTATATATTATACCTTGTTCAAGTGGATTTTAAAATTACAATAACCATTCACATATTGTAATGTTGGTATATTTTTTTTAACTTTTAAAATTATTTTTATTTCCTTTTGCGAATACGTCATCATCTACATTTATTACTATTTATATTTATTTGCAATAAAAATATATCGCTACAGTACTTGATACTTGACTAGCATTTAAAGGTAGATAATTGTAATTTTTATATGCCGTAACATAAATTTATTTGTAAAGAAAATTTTTTTTTTTTTTAAATTTTAAATTAAACTTAAAAATAAAATAATAACACTTTAAAAAATAAATTTTAAGTACTTTGAGATTGATTATTAATATCTACTCAAATCTACTATTTATAAATAATAATAATAATTATTATTATTATAATAATTTGACGGGATTTCTAAAATCCAAAAAGATGGGCAAAACCACTTGATTTTTTAATATTGGATATTTATTATTTTAAAAAATCATACCATGCACCTGAAATATAAAGGTGGCACTTTTAATATGCTACGGCTAGGCCCCATTACACGATCTACACACACACACACACACATACGTACATATAAATATATTTATACATAATCATAATAGTAATTATTAATAAATATTATTTATAACATTTGTAACATACTGTTATGTTTTTTTTCTTTTTTTTTTTTTTTTTAAACGAGCACTTGTCAATTAATAAAAAGGCTCTTGTGCAAGATTGCTTATAGTGTCATGCCGTCTGCCAAAGTAATTGAATAATATTATAATATTACAATAGTTTACAATCGATTGTAGGATTATTTAAAAATTAAATTTAAATGTTTATTATTAACATTTATATTTTTCGATTTTAAAAATTTTTTGTTGTCTTAAAATATGGCAACGGCACAGAATATGTATATTTAATGAAAAAGCCTAATTTATTTATTTATTTATTTATTATTATTTAAATATAATAATGTCAATAGTTGAAAATGATTCGATGTATTTTTTTAGTAATAAATCTAGGCCAACTTATTGACGATTGTCTTTTTCAACAAGTATAGCCAAAAAAAAATTAAATTTATTTTATTTTTCCTTATTCAGAATTGATAAACTTATTTTAAAAAGTTACAATAGTGTAATGAGCAAACAATAGGGTGTTTGTACGAAACTTCGGCACAATTTTAATACAAATCCTATTTTATAAACTATTTATTTATTTAATATTTATATATATTCAATTTTATTCTACTTATTATTGCGTTTGATATTTCAATTCACTCTAGGCAAATACAGAAGCTATAATGGGAAGCAGACAATAAAAATAAATATGTAAAATATTTATAAAATATACTATATCAGTTATTTCACAATTAAAAACAATTATATCAATAAAATAAAATAAAAAAACACGTAATAAATAAAATAATAAAATAGAGCAAGCAATAGCTTTTTAGAACAATTATTGATATTTATATGTATAGGAATGAATTAATGCCTCGATACATTGCAGTAATATATTTATTAAGTTTTTCGTTGCTTCAAGATAAATTATTTATTTATTTATTTATTCAAATAGTTTTATTAAGTAAGATTAAGAGTATCGATACTCTAAAATTTTTTTTTTTGTCGCTAGGGTAATTGAGATTATAGATTAAAGCTCGTAGCTCATTGTAGTAATAGTGTATGATTATTATTATTATTATTATTATTATATGAAGCTATTATTATATTGATGACGTATTTATAGTCAGTTAGCAATAATTTGCTACTTTCGTTTGTTTGAAATTACGAAATTCAGTTATTTCGGTGAAAAGTATTTTTGATAATTTCAATTATTAATCGGCTATTTTTCTCTTTATAAGGACTAAAAAATTTTTTTTAAGTACGTAAACCCTGTGAGTGAAATTATATTTATAATAATTTCATTTAAAAAAACTTTCATAATTTGAAACGAGTAGTCGTTTCTATAATTTTAAAAAATATTTTCCTTTCAAAAAAGGACAACTATTTATTTGTCGTTGATTTTAGACATTTAAATTTAGACGAAAATATTTATAAATTTTTAAGTATTTTATTTTATTTTTTTTTCTTTTAATATTTTTATTTATATAAAAACTACTGTCAAAGTGAGTAATTAAAAAATGAATTTATTGTAAAAATTTTTAAGTCAAAGTATATAAACACATACGTATACGTACACGGTTCTAACTCTAATAATAGGGCAGGACTCATATTTAAATATTGAGCGTATTTTTTTTTTTTTTTTAGTTTTTTCTAAATAAATTAGTCGTTGTAGGAAGTATTTGATTATTGACTGTATTTTAACTATACGCAAGATTATTTTTTTTTTTTTAACTTTTCAAAAGAAATATTTAAGTAAGGAAGACTCGAAAAATAGAGTCATGTTTTAATAATAATAATAATAATAATAATGACTTTTATGTGCGTGTGTATTAGTCGAGCGGATTTTTTTTTTTTCTACTTAAAAATTTTTCCTTAAAGTAAATAATTATTATTATTTTTATGTAAGACAAAGTAGACAATGTATATTAGCCCATTCTCATATTTGTAAGCAAGTTTAGAACAATAAATGGTTAAAAAAATATGCCAGTAATCACCAGAGATGATATCCGCGTATAGTATAAATAGTCGTAAAAGTCATCCACTTGTTTTAAATTTATTTTTCCATTTGTTATTCTTAATCTCAATAAATAATGCTTCAAGCTTCCTGAAAACATAGAAAAAATATAGTATATAAATAAAAATATAAATATATCTCTGATAGTAGTGTACAACTATTTTTATAATCCACTCTCGACATATTTGACATTACATGGAGTAATAAAAAATATAATATGAAAATCAAATGGACATTTCCATTTTAAAATTAAAAAACTTTTTATGATACCTATGTGATGACAGAAATATAATTTATCAATTTAAAAATTTTACAGGCTACAATAAAGTCTGTAAAACTTTTATTATTTTATCGATATAAAACATTTAACAGACTCTGGTAAATTGTATGTGTAAACGCGAATAATAAACTATTGACAACTATTTAATTATTCAAGTGCTAAGTAATTAAATTATTTAGCTAACTCTAATAAAATTAATAACTTTAAACATAATCAATAGAGATAGAGAAAAAGAAAAAGAAGAAAGAAAGTAATTAAATTAGTTGTCACTCGATCAGTAATTTAATTTAATCAACAATTTACCTCTGAGAAAATAAAGTGCTCTCGTGAGGGTGGAGGCTGTTCAAATGGTGAACTGCTTATGTAACCTGGCGATGGTGATTCGCTTTTCTCTAAAACTGGTGTTATGTTTGCATAACTAGATCCTGATGTTGATAAATTACGACTCTGTTCTGCTAAAATACTTCTGTCTATTTTGTAATACTCTTTGCCACTTCGCGGTCGTAAAGTCGTTGCCACAGCTCTTCCCCTAAACATCCAAACATAAAAAAATAAAAAAATAAAAAATTGTACAAACATACAATAATAAAATAAATAATTAATAATAATACCTGAGACTATCTGGTGTATCAGACGATGAATGAGATGAAAGTGACAATGTTTCAATATAATCAGACATATCTGAAGTACCACTACTGGTACTTCTTGAGTCAATATAAGGAGTACCAGAATTTTCACCAGGACTTGAGTATCCTTTATTATTGGTATTATTATTATTATTATTATTATTATTATTATTATTTTGTTTAGGTATATCACCCTCTGTGGAACAAGATTTTGTTGGTATTTTTATTTTTTGAAATTGAAAAGATAGTTCTCTCAATGGATCACTGGATTTTGATTTTCTCGGTAAACTTCCGTGATAACATATAGTAACTGGTGGTGGGCTTTTACGGTTGCAAATAGTTGTTATAATATTGTTTTGTTTTTTCGAAGATAAATTTATTATTCCGTTAATTGGAAGGGTGGTGGTTGTTATATCACATTCACCAAATTCACCATTACGATGACTTAATGAACCTGTTGACACACCCGAGTCATTACTACTTGAAGAATCACGATTGTGTCCAGTTTTAGATGGTACAGATGATGATCGACGTATTTTAATAGACGAAAATCCAGTGGAGTGTCCATTATTATGTCCAACAATTTGAGTTGACTCGTCATCATTATCACGATTATTTATTTTTAAATCAGAGCAAGTTATAATTGGTTGATCTTTAGTCAACATAATCAATTTTTCACCACTATCACTTGGACATTTGTGTATTGTTGAAGATGAAAATCCTGGACTTGGACTAGAATCTTCTAAGTAATTAGATGATGGTGATTCAGTAGAATAAGATCGTTTTCTCCACAAAATTTCTAAATTACTAGATTCTCCATGATTGTTGTGATGATTATTGTGTTGTTGTTGTTGTTGTTGTTGTTGTTGTTGTTGATTATGAAATATTGAAGGATCGATTAAACGTCGACGTAGATACGGACTTGATAACATTGCTGAACCAGGAATACGTAATTCTGAATCAGATCGTTTTCTATTTATTTCAACTAACGGTGAGGATGATGATGATGATGGTGATGATGATGATGATGATAATAATAATAATGATGATGATGATGATGATGATCCAAATAAAGTTGGATTACTGGAGCTTTTAGTACCACAAA